GGGGTACACATGTAGAATTCATTTTATTTGCAACCTCCTGTGGTTTGAGCAGCATTTTTATACATCTTTAATAAGTTATTATAGTCTTAAATTTTCTACTACAGCATGGTCCATTTCTCTTCGTCAGGATGTGCAGAAAAATCTCTCAAAGCTAAGAATATGCCTCATTTATATAATAACTGTAAAGAATACAATTCCTATAAATGGGATACTCTTCTGAGGCCTGTATCTGAGCATGACTTGGCTTGTGGAATACTGAACTACACTGTGTTGGTTTGGTGCATTGTAAATAAGATCTAATTATTTGTTAAATGAATAGATTTAAACTAACCTTCTCGTGAAGCAGTTTCTGCTAGGTGTCAGTCACTGACCATTCATCTAGTTGCAAAGACAAAGGCACTTGAGGGATGATACCACCACTAGAGAACCAGGATTTTATTTTTTTTTTTAAGTATATGGAATTCCAGAAAGTATAACAGCTCTTAGGCTTTTTAAAGTCCAGTTAGAAGTCTGAAATACTTAAGTATTAAAAGAGGTGGCTCTATCTCAGGTCCTTAGGTTAAATAGAAAGTCAAAGGGAAAAAAGGAAATTACATCACGTTGTCAAATAAGGAACAGCTAGCTGGAGTGGATGACTTGCAGTGCAAAAATGTGCCCCTCCTCCTGTAAATTGCTTCTGAGATTTGTTAAAGATATGTGGTGGCAAGGTGAGCAAAAATAGGTTGTGGATTTAAGGTAGCCACATTTCTTCCCCTCTCAAAAGTGGTAAGTAGGTGTTACCTTCTCCTCTGCCCCTTTTCCCCATTTCTTAAAAGAAGTATATAAGTTGCTTGTCAAGAGTGTTACCTTTATAAAATCTGTCCAAAATTTGTGCAAGCATTCAAAAATCTGTACAGCAAATTGCAGTATTCCATGCCCATTAAGTGAAACAGTTTAGAGCATTCTTTGGTCTGCTGTGCATACCAGAAAGGTTTTCTTTATTATGAACCTGACTTTTCTCAAATATTTGGTTGCACTGGGGCTGGGAGAGCAGGGAACAGAGTAGCAGTGTTCTGTGCAATCAGTGATAGCTGTTGAGCTAAAATACATGCAAAAATGCTTCTTAGTTTCTAAATTGAGGATTACTGTTGCTATAACAGAAGTATTTAGTGATATATATCAGTATGAAAACTGGGGGAAGTTTTATGTAACTCAGCTTAATCTTACAAAAATGTCTCAATATATTCCCACATACATTCCTTACTATGTAGATACCCTACTGCTGACAGATACATTTGACCATTTTCAGCTTACACATATCCATCCTATTATTCATCACTCATCAATTCAAGTCTGAAGGTACATTTGCCCTTGTAAAAAAAAATAATAATAATCTCATATCCAATATTTAGAATAATTAGTATTTGTTAATGTGAGCAGGCATGAATGATGAAAAAGTATCTCCTTTGCAGTTACCTTGCCTTACAGTGGATGGTGTTGACAGCCTCCTAATGCACGAACAGACATGGGAATTGCCTTGGCTTGTATCTGCCCTGTAGTGATTACTGACCATAGTTTTAGTTTGAACTAACTATGTTTCTTTTGAATAACACTGAAACAGTGGCATCTTCGAAAGTGCTCCGATCTTTCTAAGTGCCATAATCTGTGCATAACTAGGCCAGACAAGCAGAGTAACTGGAAACCCATTCTATGCAAATTAGTAGCAAACGAGCATGAGATCCAGAATACTTAATTACTGCACAGTGTCCATTTTCTTTTGCAAATGCAGTTTGATTTTATTTATGGTTAAGTTTAGATCCTTAAGTCCTCCTTAGGAGGCAGGATTGGGGCAGCAGTTACAGTGGAAACTGTTGGTGTTTATATCTTCGTGACCGACTGTAGTAATTTTTTTTTAAAGCCAGTTACTAGAAGATAGTAGCCTCATGAAATACGTGCTGCTCAGCTTTAGTAAGAGCACACTGTATAAAATACAGAGTTTGTACTCCTCAATTACATGTTCTCATGGCTTCCTCTTAAGATACTGCTTCTTCAAACAAGCTTATGCATGTCTTAAAATATAAAGACCAACTTTCCAGACTCCACTGAAAAAGTAACTAGGTGATTTAGTGAAAGAACATGTGCCTTACCTCTCTTGATACTCCTAGTTTAAGGCATGGAGGACAGTTTCATAACTGTCCATTCACAACTCCCCACTGAAACATGGAGGCAAGTTACCTTATCTGAATTCACAAAGAGGTTATTGTTGGCAGCAAGCAAGTTTTACAGCTGCAAAATTTGTCTGTGCTTTATTTTTTAAAAAATAAAGACTTGATTCAAACAAGTGAAAATTACCTTTTCCTTGAGTATGTAAATATTTAAGTTCCTTTCAGAAGTTGAGTTTAGCGTTCCAGAGTGATTTCAGAGAGGCAGTTGTGCAACTATCAGTCTTGAGAGCTGAGATTTAGACAGCATTCAGAAAGCTGACACAGTAATTACTAGCAGTGGTTTTGGCGTGGGATCTGATGGAGGTTGGGCTTCTTAACAAGCCCTGCAAGGGTTGTATGTTATCATAGCAAGCACATTACATGTGCTCTCAAACTACAGAAATGCCACCCCCCTTCTTCCTGTTTCATTTTTTATATCATAATCAATGTCTTGTTCACGATCTTGTCAGATCTTGTGTGCGTGCTGAGGTGGAGTACTGTAATTTGCTGACTAATCAGTGTTCTGTATCAGTGATTTTTCAACTTGTGACTTGCATTTCAGTTCAAAAAAATACTGAAATGGAAGCGCAGACTCCTTCCTGGGCATTAGCCCGAAGTTCACTAATTCATTCTCCTTCATTTCTTTGAAGATTCATTGCTAATAGGATAGGATACATGAGGCATGAAAAATCACTGCTCAATACAGCGTGAGTTGATGTGACAGATGTTTTCTTTGTGAATGGTGTTAACATCATAGGAAGTAATTTTAGAATTGGTGCTATACTTGTACCGTGCTGCTGAAGTCTTTTTGAGAAACGGACCTCTGCAGTTTTCTGCTCCCCCCAGACAACGGTTCTGCTGCACTCACAGGACTGGAAGGAACAACTGCTGTTACAGGACTACTAGAGATTTTTTAACTCATTTGCTAATCAGAACTATGTTGTTGCTTCCTGGGCCTTTATGTTTAATTTTACTATGAAAATTGCAGTTGCCATTACTGGGAAGGGTCTAGCTTGACTGTGTAATGCAAAAATTTCCAGGGTTCAGCTAGCTTTTAGGGAGATTGTCTGAAAAGGAAGAACACGCTCTTCACTAAAATCAGGAGGGCTGAGGGACTCTGACCCTAATGCTCTGCTGCAGCAGACAGAACACTGATTTGGCCCTTGTACACTTCACTTCTCACCAGGTAGTGAATGAAAAAAACCTACTTTTGTTGACACAAGTGTGATCACTGGTAGTCATGATCAAGAAAACCATCACACTCTTTAATTAGGTCTTGCATATTACAAACATACACGCATACATACGGTTAGAAGCTATTTTGTATATGCTGTTTGCTTGGATGATCAATACCGGACCTAATTCACATTTGGAAAAGCACAGCAGAGTAGTTTTCTCAAACAATTTTTTTTATAAAAGGCAAATAGTGTTACAATTGCAAATTAATCCTGGAGCACCTGGTTTATAGGCCTGCTTAGGAGTCTGCCCATCCCTCATGTTGCAAAGAAGTATAATGGATCTTTCCTTTTAAAAGAAAAGGCAGATCTACACACATCTGCGGAGAATATCTGGTTTGGAACAGATTTACCATAAGCTATCACTTGTTTCTGTACTCCATTTTCTTGCAGCACTATCCCGTGAAGGAGTTTTCTTGACACGTGTACTCCACGGATGTAGCTGAAGGTGCTAGACTGATGCTTGACTTGAAGTGGATTTTGTCTTTCGGGGGGGTGGGGGAGGAGGGGAGAGAGACAGAAGCTCATATTAAGAAACTAATCATAATCTTGACTCTCAAGAGATACAAATTAAACTGTTTTGGATGGGTTGGTTTTTGGTTTGTTATTTTAGCAGCCATATAACATCATATTATACTTGCTGAATTTAGGATATTTGTGTAGATAAAGTACAGACTGAGAAAATATTTTTGCTTATAGTCTTGGACCTAATTTCTCCTCCCTTCAGAATGTTGACAACTTTTACACTGTCATCCCCCCGCCCCAAATAATCCATTCTGAATTTCCTAAACAAAGCCCTGTGAGTCAACTTGTTCCTTAGACTGTGATTACTTATTCAATATAAAGCCATTGCCAACACATTTTTTCTGTGGTAAATGGGCCAGATTTATAAAGCATTGTTCACACATTCAAAGTAAATCTGAATACAGCAGGACAGTTTAAGATGAGATTATTTCAAATCACTAGGTTTCTAAATTTTTTGAAAGCTAGAAGACTTGAGGCTGATTTAAAGTATCTTAATGCTTAAGTTTGTTAATAATAGCAACTGCTTTATATAAAAAAAGTTTTGGAATTCTGATTTAAGTAGTCAGTAATTCTGTTTATTGGAGCAAAGGACATTTGTTAGGCTATTGAAGGAGATACTTAAAAACAGACTATTACATGTTGGTTGGCTACAGTGGAAACCATAAACTCATCAGCAAAAAGATGCAACTAAAGATAGACGGCTGCTAGAAAGTTAAAGAGAATGTTCTGGAAAATGTATTTTGCCTGAATAACTGGCAGTTTATGTACAAGAACTGAAGCTGTTGATGCAGTTGCCATATACCAATAGCTTTACTGAACATGTTTTTCTTCTTTCTATACAGTTTAATTCTGTAAGAGAATTAAAGAGAGAAGGCCTTTCTACAGAGCTATTTAATTCCTTGAAATACTGAAATTTCAGATGAGAGATCAACTCATCAAACTTGCATTTCTGATATTTATGTTCTTCCCTCTTTTGAAGGGCATGAAAACTGCAGGAAACCAGTCAAAGGACTGTGAATTTTTAGGGTTTTGAGACATCACCAGAGACCAGTGCACAATGTCAACTGCAGGAGTTGCTGCTCAGGAGTTGAGAGTCCCATTAAAACCCGGATTTCTTCACACTAGTCAAGGCATGGGGAGTCTGAAAACCTGCTGGGGCAGCCACAGTGGATTTGAAAAGTGAGTGAGGCTAAAATTTGATCTATTGCATCTTCAAGTATATGAGATAAGCATTAAGAACACTTGGTTCTTATTGACACTTTGACCTATGGTTTATTTACAGCAAGGGCTTTTTTTTTTCTTTTTAGTACTTTCTTTAATGTGGACCCTATAGCAGTGGCATATAATTTGAATCCATCGACAGAGCAACATTTGCCATCCATTGGTAAGTATAAAGACCAGCACTGTTGTATTTAGGTAGTGTAATGGATAAAAAAAAAAATCCTCAAGTCTTCACCAAGACACAGAATACTTTCTCGTTCTGGATATAGGGCTGCCCTCTGGTGACAGAATACAAACACTTCAGGAAAATAGTACTAGTCAAACCCAACAACAAAAAAAACCCCCCCCCCCCCCCCCCCCCAAAAAAAAAAAAAAGATTTTAAATAATGTGATCAAGTTAGAGCAAACAAACAAAAAAAACCCTTTTCCTTGTACTTAGAGGCCTCTGATTTGCCTTTACACTTCTGACAGAAAAGCCGTCGAGTACAACAGCACAAATTCCATTGTATTCCTTTGCTGGGATCTTTGTAGCTGTAGGTCTGTTCTGTTGCTTATGCCTGGGGTCTCTTGAACTACCTCATTTATCTGGAGCACTGGCTTAAAATAATAAGGAAGTCAGCTGCTCTTAATTAAATGCATAAATACATCACCAGAAAAGATCTACAATAGCTGAGTTTTGCTAGTGGAGTCATTAAGCAGACATTCCTTAGTTTGCATTAGAAGGAATTCAATAGTTAAATATGCAGCAGCAAAGTCGTGCACTAGAGCATTACTTAGAAAAGTGTTTCTAAGACTTTCGCACTTTTTTAGGGCACTCTTCCAACCACGCTTCCATGAATGACCAAAGCTTTGCTGAAAGTTGCGTCCAAGTCCCATCTCAGAAATCCAGTCCACCTCCTGCAAGTTCTAAAAATGAACAGACTATTTCACGGTACGACGACCATCTGGTTCCTGGCTTTAGTAAACTGTCATTAACTATGGGCTGTTCAGAAACACCTCCTCACATGCCAATAAAAAATGGGCCAATTCAATTTCTGTCTGCATCTTCCAATGATCGTAGCTCCAGGCCACTACCCCCTCTGCCTATTTCTGAAGGCCTTACTCCAGATGAGGTTGACAAAGAGGTGGAATTCCTGACTAGCTCAGATACTGACTTTTTGTTAGAAGATTATGAACTTCCTCCTTTTAAATCCAGTGCTCCAAGCCGGCGGAGCTTTAGGGGCTGTGGACAAATCAACTATGCATACTTCGATACTCCATCAGGACCAAAACCAGAAGATGACAACCCCACACAAAGCCTAAATGGATACATATCCAGTATGTATCCTCCTCCACAGCAGCTGCATCGACGTTTGCGAAGGTCCCATTCTGGGCCAGCTGGATCTCTTAATAAACCAGTAGTAAGACTATCTGGACACTTAAACAGGTCTTCTCCAAACTCTGATGAAGATAAACCAGAGATTCCACCAAGGGTTCCCATACCTCCAAGAGCTCTCAAACCAGATTACAGAAGGTGGTCAGCAGAAGTCGCTTCTAGTGCATACAGTGATGAAGACAGGCCTCCAAAAGTGCCCCCAAGAGAACCTTTGTCACGCAGCAATTCCCGTACACCAAGTCCCAAAAGTCTGCCGTCATACCTCAATGGGGTTATGCCCCCCACCCAGAGTTTTGCACCTGATCCTAAGTATGTCAGCAGCAAAGCTCTACAAAGACAAAATAGTGAAGGATCCTCCAACAGGGTCCCTTGCATTCTTCCAATTATTGAAAATGGTAAGAAGGCCAGTTCAACGCACTACTATCTGCTGCCTGAGAGGCCTCCATATTTGGACAAGTATGAGAAATTCTTCAGAGAAGCAGAAGAAAGTAGCTGTAACACGGAGATTCAGTCCTGGTCTGGTGACTGCACAGCCACTTCAGCCCCAGCAAAACTAGACTCAAAACCTAGAATGGACATAGCTGGTCATCTGAAACGAAAACACCTGTCTTACGTGGTTTCCCCATAGACTCTGGGAGCACAGTCTCCGCTCAGTCATTCAGGATGGAGCTGAACTTTATCAATGTTACAAAGTTCTTAAGATTTTCAGATAATGAAGTAGGACCAGTTTGTCCTCCAAGAACTGGAAAGTGGATGGTAAAGTCCTCTTATGCTGCATATCTCTGATATGTTTCTTAAGAGTGTTTTTTGTCTTGGTATGTATAGCTGAAAACCTACAAAGATTCCATAGAAACATACAGAGGGATGGTAGTCACAGTTGGCCAGTTATATGCTACCTACGTTAATATATTTGGTAGTTATTAAAAAAAAAAATAAAATCTAGCTTTGCTTACGAGTCACTTATAAAGCTGACAACAGAGCAGATCATGCAGTACAGGTTTTGTATCAGGCATTTCCAAAACTTCTTTCACACAGTAACTTTGCTGAGAACAGACTCTATCCTCCTTGACTGGGTAGGATATGCCAACCTAGTCAGAAGGTAACTGCAAGATCAGATATCCACTACAAGACTTGGTAAGCACACTGGAAGTGCGTTTCAAAAGAGGAATCTATTTTACAACTCGACACTAATAGACTTTTAAAGCGAATTAGGTTCTGTGGATTCTTTCAGTTGCTACACCCAGTTGGCTCAATTTTGCAGTTTTTCCCTGGGAGAGACTTGGACCAGCTCTTGCTAAGCCTTTGCTGCTGCTCTTCTCCTGCTGGATCCTAGAAAGGTGTGAAAATGTCCTGAAAGTGGCAGAGGATCTCAGCAGCTATACAGTTGCTATTAGGTAGGCAGTAACGACTAAATGCTCACCTGGAGTCTGAAATTCTAACTGTATTAAATACAGAAACACAGCACAAGCTGGTCTTGTGTTTTGGTTTCTATTCAGTATTTTAGAGGAGGAGGAAGGTATGAGGAAAAAACATTATTCCATTTATGAACAGTGTCAGTCCCATCTCTTGCTGCTTCAGATGCTGCTTCCCGCTGTTTAATTTTTCCTCACTGCGCCTCAGCAATTCACTAAAGTTCGCTGAGGTGCCACATTTGTGCATTAGCAGTTTCTCATGCTCATTTTGATTACATTTATCCTCTCACAGATAAGCACAAGAGAAGGTGCTCATTAACGGAGGTACAGATCAATGTGTTCAACAGAAATAAACAAGCTGTTTACAGTTTAAACTGCCGAATGAGATGTTGAGCTATTTTAAAGCTTACTTTTTATTTTAGTACAAACTAAATGAAGGTGAAATACATGCTATAGAAATGCACTGATATTTCTGCATCATGTACAGTATTGAATTAAAAAAGAATTCACTTTGTATTTTGAATATTGTCATGTCCCGAGTTGAATAAAGTTATAAAATACTTATTTATGATACATTTTGGTTTTTGCTTTATTTAATAGTGTATGCAATTGTGCACTCGAGTTCTGCATTTACTAGAAAGTTCAAAGTGAAAAATGTTAAATGTGCAACAAATGTTGAATTCAGCTTGTATTTAATTAAAATTAAGATTTCTGCAGAAGTGTTCAACAACTCACGCTGCACACTATTCATTTTAATTCTTCCTTACTACCTGGTAGCATGGTGTCTATAGTTTTGTGCTGGCAGTAAAACATCCTGTCAGATTAAGTTATTCAGCTTATCGTTATTAATAACCTTTGTTATTTCTAGAGTCACCCATAGCATGTTAGGCACCATTGTACAGAAAAGAGAGGGCAGTAGTGTTCCTGTCTTGAATTTCTCACCTGTTAAAAGAGAACTAAATTGTGCATTAAAGGTGACAAAGGAGGAGCTACTCCTATTCTGAGGATGAAAAAAGCTTCAGCATTGCATAGTTTGGGTTTTTTTTCTTAGGAGAAAGAAATTATGAATACTCATCACTAAGTAAGTATATTTAACTGTAGCATGGATAAGGTTACTGAAGATACGAAACGTCGCACAACTGTGATCTTTTAGCTGTGTATTCAGGTAAATACTTGCCTCAATCTGGCAGTGTGAAGCCTTCACATTTTCTGTGAATGATCTTATTTCAGATTAAAGGAGGTTACTTGCCACCCTTGGAATTACAATCAATGGAAAAAAAGTCAGATGTAGTTTTTCAGTAATGCCTAATTACTTGGCTTTTATAGCTAAGCTTCATTTACACAGGTGCTTAAAAACCTACTGTCGTGCCATAACACCACTAAGAATCCACAGGGATCAGCCTCCAAAAGATAAATACATTATCTAATCCTGTGCAAGGCTGCTGACCATAATATTCAT